CCCCCCCGGTCGGGCCACCCCTGGCCATTGATACAATGAATTTTCAATTGAACAACATTTATATTTCATAGAATCATTTGTATTTGAATCAGGACAAAATTCACAATTTTTATTATTTGAAAAAGATTTTTGTAAATTATTTGTTGAGTCAAGAGGAGAAGATAAAAATGTTAAAGATTCATTTGATGAAGACATTGATCAAGGTTTTTAGTATGTAAAAGTTGAATTCGTTTTAATTGTTGATGCATAAACATAGAGCAAAAAATAGAAAGAAAATATTGAATTGATAGATAGCCTAACTTTTGCGATACACTCATATTTCAACGTCTTTTATTTGTTGATGATGAACGAGATGATTCATCAGTTGCTATTGAAGCAAATATTTCAGTTGTAAATGAAATTGACTGAGTTTTTTATTGATAAAATAGATAAACATGTTGGATTTTCTGTTTTAGCTAAAGAAGGTGCTGTTAATGAACGAAAATCAGCTTGAAGTTCAGGTGATGAAAATTAAATCAGAGGTAAAAGAAGTTTTGGATAATGATGAGGAGAATGTAAATGTCGGTGTGGGCTCATGTCAGTGGCGGATTTAGGGGGGGGAGGCGATCGCCCCCACACCCTTCCGAATTTTTTTTCGATTTTTTACAGCAAAATGAACGAAAAAATAGGTTCACACCACTTCGGTTGGACTCAAAAAATAGCTTTTAACCAAAATCGCCCCCCCCCCTTCCAAAATCCTAGATCCGCCAGTGGCTCATGTTTTACTTACTCACACCCACGTCCTAAAAAACAGATTTCTCTTCATTGTTTTCTTATCAAAAAAGTTCTTTTCTTCAAATTTTATTCAATTTGTTCATTGATTTTCATTAGTGAGACTTGACTTAATTTTTTATTTAACAAAAAAATTCATTTACAATATTATTTCAAATTTTACAATTCGATGATTTTCCATATCAGAAACATAAAGATTTCCTTTATCATCAAAAGATAAACCCATGAGACCATTCAATTGATTTTCTTGACCATTTCCACCAACAACAATTTCACCTTCTTCTTGTCCTTCACACCAGCGCATTACTCGATTATTGCCCCAATCTGCCACATAGATTCGACCCAAATCATCAACAATGATCTCTTGAGGTGAAGATAATTGATTGAGGTTTCTTCCTTGACCATTTCCTCCAGCTACAATTATTCCTTCTTTTGCATCTTTTATCCATTTCATTACACGATGATTGGACGTATCTGATATATAAACAGATTGATTTTCATCAACAAAGATAAATCCAGGTTTATTAAGTTGATTGGGTTGATTTCCTTTTCCATTTCCACCTGTCACTATAATTCCTTCGTTGTTATATTCACCCATTTTCCATCGTCTCACTTCATTCTTCTTTTCATCAGAAACATAAAGAAATCCATTTTTATGAATTGCCAAGCCATAACAGTCTATATTATCAATGAGAATTTGTTGATTTTGATTCAACCACTGAATCACTCGTCTGTTCAAATAATCAGCAATGATGATGGAATGATTTTGTTCATCAACAATCACACCTGCTGGATAATTCAACTGATTTATTCGTTTTCCTCTGCCATTTCCACCTGCAATGATTTTTCCTTCTTTTGCATCATGTTTCCATTCAACAATTCGATGATTCTCAGTATCAGCAATAAATATAGTTTTGTTTTTATCAATAAAAATTCCTCGAGGGCGATTGAGCTGATTTAATCCTTCTCCATTTTCATTTTCACCAGCTACTG